TACTTGATTATATGTTGAGAATCAAACAAAGTTATAAGAGGCATAGGGGATCCAGAATGTTTTTGCCTATGCGGTCCTTAGAGTGAAGGTTTGGGATGGCGTGTTCAATTCTCTAGTTTGGTTCTGAAGGAAGTTGTGTGGCTTTATACCGGAAAGCTATAAAGTTTTATCTGTACAACCTGTACAATAAAGTTTTAGCTCGTATTTGTATATATTTATTATTTGTTTATATATGTATACACCTTTCTATGCAGATACAATGTAGTTTCTTTCCCTGGTCATTGGGTCACAAGCTGAAGTGTTGCTAAACTGTAATCAGCGCAGGCTGGAGCAGGCAACCCCACCAGGTACCCATTTATACTCCTGGGTGGAGAGAAGCAATGCAGATGAAGTGCCTTGCTCATGGACACAAGCGAAATGTACAGCGAGGGATTGCAACCCCAACTTTGGTGGGAGAACCAAACTGTTTCAGCAGTGCCAAACCTTTTCCACAGCTTGTCCAACATGAACCATATGATTGCAAGACTTGAGATCAAGTTTTTCTCAGATTGTGTTCTATTTCTAACTTCGATAGTAAAGATTTGAACAGTAAAGTTTCCATAAAATAGGTCAACATTATAAAACTTCTTATTATACTGTGGGCATAAGAGGTTTTTAGTTTACAATCAGCCTATGATCATCTTGGGTATTGTAATTCACTTTCAAGTCAAGCTACAACCTGTTTTCTTAACAACATTGTTTATTGTTTCAGTGTGTTCTCCTATTCTTCCATCTATTTTGACAGTAATTACCAGTTTAACTACAGACATATCCTTCTGCACATAACTGCTATTGCTCCAGATTCTATTTCTACCTAAATTTAATGTTTCTGCATATGATAAAATATATTATTGATACAATTCAATAATAGAAGTACTGTGTAAGGGGGACATAAGGTGGGTGTTTCTTACTATCAAAGTGATTTGTGAAATACTGCAATAAAATATCATCTTGGTATTACAGGTTTGAGCACACACATTTTTTACCCTTCCTCCAATCCACTTGTCAGAGGAATGAGCTACACAATGATCGGTTAGGAAAACTCTTCACTGATATTGAAAACTGCTTTGATATTTGAAAAAAAAAAATGCTTTTTTAAAAGCATAGTAAATTTCACCATAGGGAGCCTCACAACATTGCATTTGATGATACAGATTATTTTACAAAGCATTATTGAAATATTCCGTGCTGCTTTCTGAAGTTAACAAAGTGATCTTACCCAATTTCCTTTTTAACTTATGAACGTAATGTCTTGTGCTCTGAAATTCATCACTTTTAAATGCTTCTGTAATACTAGACAACTCGCTCCTGTCTCAACTATCACATCATAGATTTTTGCAAATTTTGAAATTCGCTGTCCAAGATTATCTGGGTCAGCCCTGCAGTGATGAAGACGCATGATTTAACTTGAGAAACCTGGATGACAGCACTAGACTAGTCTGACTGACAAACTCATGGTATCATATCCAGAATGACCTCTAACCTAATTCCGACCTCTAACCTAATTCCAACCTCAGATTATTACATGAAGTTGATTGATATTGATGGGTTAATTGGCAAAACCTTTTGAAGTATTATACAAGCGAATATTATGTAATATGAATTGTGTAACCTAGATATCAATACCTCACCTTAAAAGCATTGTTATCATCACCACGGTAATACCTGACCTAATTCAACCCCTAATTTAATTATTGTAATTAGGAAAATGTGTGATGAATTGTCAACTCTTTGAAAAAAATAAATAAATGGTGTCTTACATAATGTATTTGAATTGCATCACTGCATACCTATTAATTTCTTTTGAATATCATTCATAACATTTCTATCTACTCTATATTAAAGTAAATCATTTTTTGCATTCGACAAATTATTTTGTACATGGTGACTGTGCGTTATATTTTGGCAAAATATGCAAATATTTGATGGTAATGTATGAAGACATACATGAAGTAGAAAGATTTGTTGTAAAACGTTTGGATACTATCTGATACCTCTTCCTTCTCTGTATCACCTTACAATGCAGAATAAATCATCCATATTAGTTCTTTCAAGTCACAGTAATGTCAACATATAATTCTATACTCACTTTATTTTTAAGGTTATTTAAAAAAAAGGGATGATGTCATACCTCAGTGACTGTGACGCATAGTTTTAATATAAAAAATGCATACTGTAGTATATAGGGAGAAAATTCTAGCTCTAGTCATTCATAGAAATGTACAATAAGTAAATATCATTCACTTTGAACCATTCAGATCATGCCCTTTTCCCAGAGAGAAATCTTTATATTCTATAGTCTTTTGCATGTATGGTACTGAGGTCTCAAATTGATCAACTCTTCATGATGAACACTCTCACAAAATATTGTTGAAATAGATAAATAAATAATATTTACACCCCTTTTCCCCTTCAACCTTCTATTATTTGGGAAATCTTTGCTTTCATACAGTACTGTATGGCATACTGTATTAGATAAGTTTTGGAATACTACGTTAAAAATCAAAGTGTAGTATAAACTGTAGTTGAATAGGTTGGTGGGATGTTTGCCTTCCGATCCTGGGATCCTGGGTTCAAATCCCTGCCACAGCAGGGTTTTTTCCTCCCAACTAAAAGTATGACCCCCTCCCTAAGCCTCTCAAAGAGATTTACTTTATATTACTAATAGTAAATCCTTCTGTTGTGGAATAATAATGATAAATATTTAATAATTTGTATCTGCATCATTCATATATCACATTGTTTTGATTACCTATCTAGGTATCAGTAACAGTACATATGTTTATCGATGTGTCATGTGTAATGTCCAGGGTACTTCTTATCCTGCAAGGGCAGGCTGTGAATCAGGTCATGTTTAGGGTCAATTGGTGATGTTTCAAACACCTGCACTCATTTGCTAGCAAGGTTTCACCTCATGCATTGCTTCCTGTTGAAATGTTAATGAGATTGTTCTTAAAGCAGATTGAAAAATATGGTGTATTTGTTTACTCTATTCATTAACCCTCTATATCTGTGTAACCAGATATTATCGGTGCTTTTAAAGTTATTGGCAAGTCAAATAATGGCATACATTTTATTGTGGTATGATAATTAGAACTCGCTTCTCCCTTAAATCAAACTCTTAAATATTTTAATCAATTCATACAGTATACAATTATGTTTAACCACGTTTATCTACAAAATCTTAAAGTCTACTTCTATAGTTTTTTGTACTGTATTTTTTTTTTCTTAAACTGAACTGGGAGGTAGGCCTACTGGTACATAGCAAAAATCTAGCGTATAGTATTGTCACAAGCGTGCACAATATTAATAATTTCAAAATGGAATGAGTGTTGTATCTGTGTACGGTAATCTAAAAATAAGACGCTTCTACTAGATTTAACTGTTTGAACGCACGTTTATTCTTCAATAAAATGAATGTGGCTCTGTACACTGTGAGTCTGTGTGTGTGTGTGTGTGTGTGTGTGTGTGTGTGTGTGTGTGGTTCACTGAAAACCAACAGTAAAAAATCATGTAAAAATCAACAGAAAATAATTAGTTCTGTAATATTCTTCACAATAATGTAACATTAATTAACTCATTAATCAAAGAATATTTACCAACTGTTTATCTTCTAGTTCCTGAACATCTTGTAATACCAATCATAGCCCTCGGAGCCTTATTCCGTTTCGTTCTATATAGATAGTTAACAATACACACTAGCTTGCTTCGCCTTGCGTAGCTTCTCTATAAGGCCAAAGATAAAATATGCTTGCTTAGCATCACACCATCTGAAATTTGCAGGGGCAGGGGGGGATTTGTTGGTTTGTTTTTTTTGTTTTGCTGGCCTGGCCTGGCCTACTGTAGCCTAGGCCCTACTGTGTAGGCTTCTTAGGCCTAGAGATTTCAAAAACTGCATGCAAGCCAAATCTTTGACAATGGCCATAACAGACACTAAATTTTACATAAAAGATTTGTTTCTACAATATTTAATTTAATAGGCATTGTGGTTCCGTATGCTAAGTGCTGCAGTGCTAGGCTAGGCCTCGGAGAGTACAGTAGGCCTAGCCATACTAGGGTGTAGGCCTAGTTAGTAGGGCGTAACCTATTATTTGTCTTCGTAGTACTTTAATATTGTCATATTTGAAACATTGTTTATTATCTAAAAAGAACCAAATAAAAACATGTAGGCCTAAAGTGCTATACTTCCGATCAAATCGTCCGCGATTTCTGTCAACAAGCACATGTGAGGGAATAAATTTCTTTTTCTGCAGAAAAAAACACACTTGTAATGTTGGTGGTGCACTTCACATCTTGTTCCCTGTGCTGAAGATGAAAAAACGATAGTTTTTTCCTCTATCATCGGCATTTTTTAGTCGATTTTCATCACATTTTTTACAACAAAGGGAAAAAAATGAAAAGCGGCTAGAAAATCAGGGTTGGGCGGTGACGCTAAGCAAGTATTTTTTTTTTTCGGCCTAAACAATATCATTGGGTCATTATAAATACTTTAAAAACTGAGGGCGCACTAGCCTAAAACGTTAATGCTTATGCCGCTACAAGTGTATTAAAACTTTTATAAAATTTAAGAGCAATTTCCAGTGTTTTATTTGTATTCAGAACCCACTGAAACATTTGGATTGGTCTTAAATTTTTTCACTTTACATAATGATTTTACTTTGTACCATTTTGCAGTATAAGTTACCTCTGTGTGTTGTTTTTGTAATAAAAAAAAAAGTGAACTGAATAAAACAAATGCATTGTACAGTTTAATGTCAATTCTATCATAAAGAAAGAAAAAGAAAATCTTGCTACTCTTTTCCTCTCGTGTTTTAATTCATGAGCCTAGATTGTGCTGAGAAACAGTGGAGTATGTGAGCCAAATGCAACTGTGGCTGCTTCAATTTAAAATAGAATACAAACACTCGATTCAAAAATATTCAAATTATCGGTCAAATTTTATGTCTTCCGTTGCATATTAGGTGGAACTGATCCAAGAGAGGCCCCAAGAAATGCGCCGCCTCCTGATGATGAAGAGTCCGAAAACTTGGAGAATATCCCCCGAGAGATGGAAATTGAAGTTCTGTCCAGCGCCAATAAGGTTGCCATATCTGTAGATGGAACACAGGTAAAGTATGAGTTTGATCATAATATTTGCATTTAAGAGCCCATGTGGGATCCACCACCCACTGTGTGGGCAGTTGTCTTTTCTAATAAAACTACAGTTGTTCAATCCTGTCGATTGATTGGTCATCACATGTATACATATCCTGTCTCTTATACACATCTAGATGTGTATAAGAGACAGCTGTTTATCTTCTAGTTCCTGAACATCTTGTAATACCAATCATAGCCCTCGGAGCCTTATTCCGTTTCGTTCTATATAGATAGTTAACAATACACACTAGCTTGCTTCGCCTTGCGTAGCTTCTCTATAAGGCCAAAGATAAAATATGCTTGCTTAGCATCACACCATCTGAAATTTGCAGGGGCAGGGGGGGATTTGTTGGTTTGTTTTTTTTGTTTTGCTGGCCTGGCCTGGCCTACTGTAGCCTAGGCCCTACTGTGTAGGCTTCTTAGGCCTAGAGATTTCAAAAACTGCATGCAAGCCAAATCTTTGACAATGGCCATAACAGACACTAAATTTTACATAAAAGATTTGTTTCTACAATATTTAATTTAATAGGCATTGTGGTTCCGTATGCCTGTCTCTTATACACATCTAGATGTGTATAAGAGACAGTTGCTTCGCCTTGCGTAGCTTCTCATAAGGCCAAAAAATAAAATATACTTGCTTAGCATCACACCATCTGAAATTTGCAGTCTAGATGTGTGGATTTGTTGGCTTGTTTTTTTTTTTGCGGGCCTAGCCTAGGCCCTACTGTGTAGGCTTCTTAGGCCTAGAGATTTCAAAAACTGCATTGTTGCCAAGCCAAATCTTTGACAATGGCCATAACAGACACTAAATTTTACATAAAAGATTTGTTTGTACAATATTTATTTTAATAGGCATTGTGGTTCCATAGGCTAAGTGCTGCAGTGCTAGGCTAGGCCTAGGCCAATAGGCCTAGCCATACTAGGGTGTAGGCCTAGTTAGTAGGGCTTAAACTATTATTTATCTTCGTAGTACTTTAATATTGTCATATTTAAAACATTGTTTATTATCTAAAAAGAACCAAATATAAACATGTAGGCCTAAAGTGCTATACAGTACTTCCGATCAAATCGTCCGCGATTTCTGTCAACAAGCACATGTAAGGGAATCAATTTTTTTTTTCTGCAGAAAAAAACACACTTGTAATGTTGGTGGCGCACTTCACATCTTGTTCCCTGTGCTGAAGATGAAAAAAACGATAGTTTTTTCCTCTATTATCGGCATTTTTTAGTCGATTTTCATCACATTTTTTACAACAAAGAAAAAAAAATGAAAGGCGGCTAGAAAATCAGGGTCGGGCGGTGACGCTAAACAAGTATTTTTTTTTTTTTTTGGTTTAAACAATATCATTAGGTCATTATAACTACTTTAAAAACTGAGGGCGCACTAGTCTAAAACGTTAATGCTTATGCCACTACAAGTGTATTAAAACTTTTATAAAATTTAAGAGCAATTTCCAGTGTTTTATTTGTATTCAGAACCCACTGAAACATTTGGATTGGTCTTAAATTTATTCACTTTACATAATGATTTTACTTTGTACCATTTTGCAGTATAAGTTACCTCTGTGTGTTCTTGTTTTTGTAATAAAAATAAATGAACTGAATAAAACAAATGCATTGTACATTTTAATGTCAATTTTATCATAAAGAAAGAAAAAGAAAATCTTGCTGCTCTTTTCCCCTCATGTTTTAATTCATGAGCCTAGATTGTGCTGAGAAACAGTAGAATATGTGAGCCAAATGCAACTGTGGCTGCTTCAATTTAAAATAGAATACAAACACTCGATTCAAAAATATTCAAATTATCGGTCAAATTTTATGTCTTCCGTTGCGTATTAGGTGGAACTGATCCAAGAGAGGCCCCAAGAAATGCGCCGCCTCCTGATGATGAAGAGTCCGAAAACTTGGAGAATATCCCCCGAGAGATGGAAATTGAAGTTCTGTCCAGCGCCAATAAGGTTGCCATATCTGTAGATGGAACACAGGTAAAGTATGAGTTTGATCATAATATTTGCATTTAAGAGCCCATGTGGGATCCACCACCCACTGTGTGGGCAGTTGTCTTTTCTAATAAAACTACAGTTGTTCAATCCTGTCGATTGATTGGTCATCACATGTATACATATCTGTTGCAAATGTTCTACTGTATATGATTTTTGCCTCTGCTTCAACTTGCTGACAGTGTTTTTATGTTATATGATATTCAAGATCTTTTGTATATTATTGAGAATACGAAATATCTACAACAATTTTTTGCAAGGCCCAACAGTTTTGTTGGATTCAATAGAACAAATTTGAATATTTTCAGAGCTGTTTCAGCAACAAATTTAATTTGGAATTACTTTTCTTTTCTGTAGAAAAGAATTATGTCCAAGATAGTTCAGCATAAATCAAGGCCAAGACAAAAGTTTTAGTTGTTATTTGGCACTGTAGTTTTAGTGTTTCAACTGGGCTGGACATCAAGTACTCTACTGTATTGGATTTGTTGGTATTATTCTGGTCCTGAAATTAAAGCATATGGAAATTTGGCCAAACCTCATGTTTAATAAATTTCAAGGGATTAGATGTGGGTTTGCCTGAGGAACCACAGTTCAAATTACTACATGGTTCTTTACTGACAGTAGTTTGACATTCATTTACTCAGAACTTTTTTTTTTATATAAAAACATGTTAGTCAACATAAATACATGTCTTTTGACATTACCATACATTTGATCGTCTTCCATGATCCTAAGATTAAAACTTACCTTAAGATTTGACCAACTTCATGTTATAAAAATGGCAAGGGATATGGGTTTGCTTGAGGAACTACAATTTGAATTATCATACGGTTCTGTAGTTAGACATTTATTCGCTCAAAATCATTTTTTCTTTATAAAACATGTTACACCACATAAATAAATGTCTTTTGACATTTGATAATCTTCCAACATCTAAAGTTTACCTCCAGACTTCAAGTTCCAAACATTTCAAGGGATATGGGTTTGCCTGAGGAACCATAGTTCGAATTAGATTACGATATGGTTCTGACATTTATTCACTCAGAATCTATTTTTCTTTATAAAACATATTAAACAACATAAATAAATGTCTTTCAGCATTACATTTGATCGTCTTCCAAGATGTAGTTTTTCAAAATAAATGATGAAGTAGCTGTGACTTCCGTATCAAACTAGAAATAAGCAGATTACAAAATTCTGTCAATATTGCAGAATGGAATGTCCGCCTGTAGGCTGCAATCAAATTGCAATAAAACGAAAGAAAAATCCTTTTACTGAACTTGAAACTGAAGAAACTTTGACACTTGAGAAACATTGTAAGCTGTTAAGTCTATTAACAGCTTAAAAAGTGCCTTTGGGAAAATGATATGTAGGTAAACATAGCAGAGAAAAAAAAAGCGTAGAACCAATGTAGCATTAAATTTCATTTCAAAACTTTTGTTTACTACCTAATATTTAAACCCTCCATGTTTAAACTTAGCAGCTAAGTTGTAGTGCACTTTAAAACAGCTGTTTATATCATATCACTGCAAGCAATTGGCACATTTTTGGCTTCCTGACTCAGATACAAAAGGCCAAAAATAAAAAAAAAAAGATGTTCTTCTACTCTCCCAGCCTCAGAGTATTTAAATATGAGTAATGAAAATGTGTGTGAATGGACTTTGTTGGCACCACCAATCAAGGCTGGAATGCTTCCATTTTAAACACTTTTTCCTATGGAAAAATACTAATAGAAATGTACAAATCCCATAGCAATACATGCAGGCTTTTCTAGGCATGACATCGTCCTAGATATTTGACTGTGTATAATGTGTATATCTTTGTGAAGGGGGTGAACAGTAGACGCCTCATGCTACTCTCTCATAAAACCTGGATGAGAAACTGGCCAAAGACCAGTTTGAAACCTGTTTTGATCATAGTTTGGACATCTTCACTACTTTGATACCAACTTTATCATTTTCTGTTCTTCGTCATTTTATCTTAACACGCACCATTTCAGATTATTGTCTCCATAATGTCGTCTTCTATACGTGTTTATGTGTCGTTTATCACGTTTGTGTGTCAATTTTGCTGCTATAATTTTGTGTGTGAAGTCTGCTTGATATACTCGTACCCTAATGACTTGTTTACGGTACGACTTGCATCGGTAGGTTTGTTTAGTTGAATGGTTATGTTGTATTCTGTAGTGGTATAGTAATAACTTGATGCTATTAAGTAGCATGGATCAAGGAAAATAAAAGACCTAGAGGAAGAAAAAGAATGATGATATTGATTATACTTTATAAGTGGAAAGAACTTTTACCAAAATTGAAGAACGCAGGAGAAAGAATTGAGAGTTTACCATTGAAACTTGCTAGCAAAAAACCATTATTACAAATTATTTCATGGGTAAATTAAATTATAAGCATGACTTGTTTAATGTTGAGCAAACTTTTTTTTTCAAAGATCGTCAGTGGAGGGCGGAAAAAAATAAAAATAAAATTTTAGTTTATTATTTAGCAAAACGATTTTTGCCAAAAGCATCTATGTGTATGAGTAAAAGAAAATAAAATTTTATGGTGATTTTATGGGAGCGGAGTCTGTTGTAATTAATAAATAGAAATGTTTTGTTTGTTTTTTTTTTCTGAAATTTCCATTTTTTATTGGTGGAGGGTGCACTAGCTAGCCAAAAATGATATTTTATTTATATTCGAAGTCACTATTATTGGCTGTAGAAGGGTTTGCTAAACAAAGTAGAAAAAAATTCTCATCTTATGGGTAGGCCTACAGTACTTATTGGTTTAATATCTGGCGTGGGGTGATTCAACTAATTAAAAAAAAAAAATATGGGGAAAGGCAGATGGAGGGGAAAGAGACCTTGAACTGTAGTTGTAGAATCCGCTTTTTTGAAATTTGCAGTTTTTGGAAATATAGTAAGGAACATATTTATTTCTCAAAAATGTATTGTAAATGTAATATTATTTTAAATGGG